AGCATAATAATTTAGTTTACGACGACGCCGTTGCTCAGGATCAGCTGAAAGTTCGCCGAACCAATCAACGATTATTCAGCAGTGCCAACGTTTGCAATGTCGCAGAATGCTGGTAGAATGGGTGAATGCATCAGGCATGGGATTACTTGCAGGTGAGAATTAGCGATGAACAACAATATGATCAAATCTCCCGATTTTCACACCCACGCGAGACTGTGTTCACTCGAACGTCCTGAATACAGAAAACAGTGACGCACATCCTTCAATGTATTTAATCAGCCCACGAAAACAGTGAACATCATGGGATGGTTGACATTTTATTTTGAATCCAATCCACTTTGGATGTCACATGGACCATCATTGTGGCTGTGCATGTGGTGTAATCAGTGCAAACCATACTGAGGATTCTGTGGGTAATTTGTCACGAATCCAGCTCCACTGTCTCTCTGAAATTATGAGTGAAACGGCATTTCAAGCACTGAAGTATCTGTCACGGATTCCATGAATTCGTTTTCTAAATTGGAAGAAAGTAAATAGCCACAGTACTTTTGATGTACTACTCATAAGGTTGCTGGGTTCCAGGTGAGACTCTCGAAAAACCAAATTAGTTTGCAAATGAGTATATATTCGCTAAACAGCCTCAACTTTCGTAATGCTTGTGGTATTTTCTGTGGTTACTAATATTCTGAAGAAAAACACTAATTTAACAACACTAATATTCGATTCGTCTTCATTGTTTTACGGCAGCCATTTGCAGCAATTGTTTTACTGCAATTTATTGTGTGGAAAATCCTGGACCAGGCAAATTCAGACGAGTAGTCATAAAATGAGGTTTCGTGCACACAAAGTCAACTAAATAAACAGTTACGATCAACTCACCTCGATACGTCGTCGTCGACGCAAAGGTTGTAAGTAGAATTGAACACCTTGTATACTCCGTAGAGTTGAGCATATTTCTTTTGCGTCACAACTTTAAATATTGCCACCTGAGCGGTGGTTCGGTTTATGTCAGGATGCACAAAGATTCCAAATCCAACAATAACCCCCGATTCATTCACTTGTGGCAGCGTTGCATGTTGTGTTGTGGGGAGTTTTACGATACTGATGTTAGGACCCGTGAGATCGAATGGTGTGAATAGTTTGAGGAGGGAGATATCAAAGGTAGCTGTGTTTGCTGACAATTAAATGAACCATGATGCGCACAACAAATGTGGCTGAATGACGCAACACCACAAAGTGCATTGGATTTCAAAACCGTTCTAGTTCTCGAGATGTAAATCTGCATGATTTTGTTAAAATTGAAATAAAATTTCTCTTGAAAAATCTTGAGCACAATGAGACCTGCTAACCCCCGTTCGAGCATTCCAATGTTTCATCATGTGATATCCAAACCAGAAATCTGAATAAAGGGGCTGAGATTGCGAGAGAGCTCTACCACGTAACATGCGTGACCAAATTCTTAAGTTAAATTCGAGAGAATGTTTTGCTATTTTACATTAATAACACGAGATTCATTTCGGTAACCAAAATGCATCCTTCATGTCGATCGAAAGCAACGTTTTCTCCAGACTGGTTAGACGTCCATTTCTCCTACGGAATTGCATCGCCTAAGGAATATGTGGACAGCCGCGCTAAGCAAGACCCAGAAGAAGTTCAAACAGGACAGTGTGCAGGAATAACGCTGAAGGAAGTTAATTTGTATATAACAGTTATGTAAATTATACTAACGCATAACTCCGGATGACTGATTGGTTCACGATTGAACTACATGATTCATAACGTGCTGTCTTGCTCCTAGAAGTTCTTTTGCATGCGGCCCATAGTGATAGATCGTTTGAAGTTGTCCAAACCGAAAGTCGATCTCCAGCGTGTAGACAATACCATCTCACATTTGTCGTAGGCCCCTATGGAAAGTTCCCGTTTATCCCATTACCTATGGAAGCTGAAATAGCTGGTCTCTTATTGCAACTGCGATAAAAAATGAACAAGCTCTGCTAGATCACGGGTTCCTTGACAGAATACACAGACACCAGGCAACATGGATATTATCCATGGTGACACTGCCCGGATCCGCATCTCCTAACAAAACCCGTATGGGCTCTGCGATGGCACAGTAGAGGCCAAAGTGTCATGGGATCTTAAAAAATCAAGATTTTTGTCAGAACCCAAGTGACACTAATTTTATACGAACTATTGCATCTTAAACCTGGACTCCGGTTAAAGTAAAATGCAATAAGTATCCCCGTTCAAGCTTTAAATACTACCGTTTCATAGTAGGCTCTTCAAAGATTTGTGGTAACCTATGTTGTTAAAACATGGTTTGCGGCTAAGCACCCCTGTAGTGGATAACCCTAGTAAATACCAGTTCAAAGTAGTCAAATCAAGTGAGTAAAAAATAGGCCAGATTATACAACTCACAGTTGTTGGTACAGTTAGGTATTACCACCACAATAAATCCAAATCGATCTTCTTCCTGTAATCTTCCTTGATATGTTCCTAGACACTTTCCATCTCGTCGTAGTCTGTAAGATGGATCACCGCTCGTTAATTCACCGACAGCATAACTCGACACAGCAAGAAGCGAACACGCTTTTCACGAGGTACAAAATTTGTATTGTGTCCAATTTCCTTTTCGTTCATTTAAAACAAAAAATATTCGGTATGAAGTGAAGAGGAGTAAGCTGAGATTTTAGTGAGAGATAGAAAGTGGTACA